TTTTTTTTTTTCAAGGCCCAGAGCCAGTACAAAATATTTCAATCCCTTGGGCAGAATTAAATGCTCCCCGTTTTGAGTTCTAAACTGAATGGCTGCATGCACTTGTATATAGCACTACTATTTGATCCTTTATTAGCATTGGTTATCTAATTAGCTCCTGTCTTTGAACTCCTTCAAGCAGAAGAAATATCTTTTTTCTGGCATTAGGACCCGGCTTAGGGTAGACACTGGTGACTGAAGAAAGAATAAATAGCACAAATTACCCTGTGTGAAGGGGCAGGCATTCGGATATAGAGATTATGTATGTAAGTACACATTAATTGTTCAAAAAAAAAACTGTACTGGATTTTATTATTGCTGCTAATGGTGTTATTATTGATAGAGATGTTACATTTCTAATGGCCTGATCCATCCAGTTCATGACTCTCAAAACAGGGAGCAGTGGAACCGTAATCTAACCTACTTATTTATTTATTTATTTATTTTTACCAAAGATATCATCATTTAATGACAACGACACTTAGAAGTAACAATAATAACACCTGTAGGTAACAGTAGTCACGCCAAAGGTTTTGATGTGCATTTACATTACACCTGGTTTCTTGTTCCGGTGGGCTTGGAAATGGGTGGAGAAAGAGGGCTGGCCAGACCCTCTTCTTCTCCTCTCCAGCCTGGTCATCTGGGTTCTCATGAAAGAACCCTCTTCCATTCAGTAGAGGGGGAAAGTTCCTCCTTAGTGAGCAGTGTTTCTGAGACCTGGGTCCATAGCTGGCTCCGTTCAGCGGGTTGCATCTCTCCCTGGGATTCTGGAAGCACTGGGGATGACTGAGCTACGGCAGCTGCCTTCCTTCTGGGTGCCTCTGGGGTGTGAGGGTCTTGCAGGAATGGAGGCCGTTTGCTGCTCTAGCAAATGCCAAGGCCGTGGGTGGAGAGATGAGCCCCAGTGTGGGATTCTGGGGGATCCCTAGTGGGCGGGACTGCAGAGAAGCAGCTCTGAACGCTGCAGAGGGACAATAGCCTTACATTTCAGACTTCCACACACTGTAGATCCAGTTGAGATAGGCTGTGACCTTGGTGTACACTACTGGGGTACTTGGGCCCCCACAGCCATGTCCTCAGCTCACGATGCCCACCACCTTCTAGTGGTCAGTCTGGTACATCAGGGTCCACCAGTGTCACCCTGGCAGGTGTCCACACCACCTCCTGGGACGCCTGCACACAGCATCTTCTCAGTGACTTCTCCCTGGTAGGCATCCTCTGCATTGCACCGGGTGTGGTCAATGATGTGGACTGACGCCTGCAGCAGTGTGTCAGACATCTTCCCACCATTCTGCTCCGTAAAGCCCCAGCAGAGGATCCAGAGTTGGGTGGCTGGAGCAAGCTCCTCATCAAAGAAGGGCAGGCAGATGGGCCTGATTGTACCTGAAGCAGTGGGCTGCCGTGAGGATCCACTGGGGATCCAGGATGCTTCCTCCACAGATGTGTTGCTTGTTGTACTGGAGGCTGACCTGCCAAGGCCAAGAATCCACCTAACCTCTTTATTGTTCATATGAGGATATAGGTCCCTAGAGGGTAGGGCTCTTCTTTCAGGTCTCAAAGCTCAGAGCTCCTAACTCCTGGCACTGGGTTGTTTTCTCTTGCTATATAATTGTCTTTAACTTAGTGATATTCAAACTGTTTTGGATATATACACTCAAAACAATCTTGAAAAATTTTAAGTAGATGTGTAAATTTTCTTCATCATAATTTTGAATAGTTGCAAAGGATGTAATTTATTGCAATTTTTTAAAAAAATGGGATTATTATAAACATTTTCAGAAAAGCTTTTTTTTTTTTTTTGTACTGGAAATTGAACTCAGGGGCACTTTACCACTGAGCTACATCCCCCGTCCTTTTAATTTTAATTTTTAAAAATTGAGACAGGGTCTTGCTAAGTTGCTGAGGGCCCTTGCTGAGTTTCTGAGTCTGGGTTTGAATTTGCAATCTTCCTGCCTCAGCCTCCTGAGTCAATGGGATTATAGGCATGTTCCACCATATACAGTATATTGTAAACATTTTCAAATGAAGGTGTGTAACATCACTCATTTAAAGGTATGTAAGAAGTTGGAAATATTTGAATGATTTGATACCTACTATCATCTATTAAAAAAAGATCACTGTAAAATACACAGCCTCTTATTTTGCAGTGCTGCGGACTGAAGCTAGCGACTCACCCAAGGGTTTTATCGCTGAGCTACATCCCCAGTCCATATACTTTTTTTTTTTTTTTTTAAGTCAGGCTGTTACTTGCTACATATACTACCTCTTTAACATTCACTTATTTCGCCTTTTTTTCTCCTAGTTCATATTTCCATCTCCCAGAATCTTATCTATATCTATATCTATCTATATCTATGAAGAACCTCAGTCTGGTATTTAGGCTTCACTAGCGTCATTGTAATCATATGCAACTTTATCTTATTCTTTCTTTTGTGGTGCCAGGAATTGGACTCAGGGCCCAGTGCGTCCAGTGGGTAGTAGGCAAATGCTCTACCATGGAGCTACATCTCCTGGTCCCAGAATGCTATTATTATTATTTTTGCAGCCTGGGTATGAAATCCAGGACAGAATGTTATCTTCATGCAACATTTTTTTTTTGCCTTACAATCCTTTATCCAGCACCCTATATTTTATTGTAATAACAATATATAAATTTAAATTTAATATATTTTTTCTTTCCTGTGGCTATAATTCTTAAATTTTTTCTTTGGTCGGAGTTATCACTACAGTTATAATTTGTCCAGTCCATCAAAAATTATATAAATAATGGCGTGTGCTGGCTAACACCTGTAATTCCAGCTACTGGGGAGGCTAAGGCAGGATGATCCCAAGTTCAAGATGGTAATTTAGCCAGACCTTGTTAAAAACAAAAACAAAAACAAAAACAAAAACAAAAAAAAACACTGTGGGGGTAGTTTGGGCTGGGAATCTAATTCAGTAGTAGAGACCTTGGCTAACATACCGAGGCCCTGGGCTCAGTCCCCAGTACTGGGGGAAAAATTACATAAATAATGACCAAACAGTAAATATATCAGAAAACTACTATTGTGATGCTGGGTTGGTGTTTATGGTGGCATACGTCAGCTAATGGACGATTAATTTGGTTCCTGGGGGTTTTATTCCTTGTGACAACAGATTTAGTAAGATTCAGGAGAGGAGGGTGGTATACCTGTCTTTTTGGGTGGGAAAACCGCCTTTAGGCAGCGGGAGGACGAAAATGAGAACTGTGACTACTAAGGACTTCTCTGGCAGATCAATTCTAGGGGAGAACTTAAAGAAAGTTAAGTATGTGGTAACTCTGCACGTCAATGCCAATCTGGAAAATCTTCACCCTCCGGCGGGTGCACACTCCAGTCCAAAGAGGCAGAGCTTGAGTCACTCCTCAGCCGTCCACGTTGGGGCGGGGCCAAGCAATTGACGCCCCCAACACGTCCGCGAGGCCCCCGCCCCACCGGAATCCCGCGCCCGGCGCGCTCCCGAGAGCTGTGCGCCCCGCCCCGCTGGGACCTGGCGGCGCCCGCGCCCCGCCCCTTCCGGCCCGGGAGGTTTGATTCCTTTGGCGGGCGGAAGCCACCAGAGCCTGGCGAACGAAACGATTCCTAAGGACTTCTGGCTCTCGCCGCTTGGCCTCGGACGGCTGGTGGGCTCTTCAGTCCTTCCGTCCGGCCCGACCCCGCCCGGCCCTCCGCTTCTCAGGTCAGTTCTCCCGTCCGTCCTCCGCAGCTGTAGCTGAGGGCCAGGGTCTCGGCTGTGCCGGGCGCGGGGTGTGACCGGCCCTACCCGATTCGCTCCCGGCTCCCGGGAGATGGGAGGAGTTTTCTGGAGACCCACATTACCGGCCTAGTACCTGATGAGATTCTTGGCTCATGTGAACCTCGGTTTCTCTCCGGTGAGGAGAATGATGGAACCGGCTTCACAGGGTTATCCGTGCGTGCTGCCAGGAGACTGATACATGTGAATTCCCATTCCTGTTTCCTTGACCAATGGTGTGTCCGTGAAAGAAGCTCCAAGAAGGGATTTGCGTTATTTCTTTCCGTACAACTCACTCCAGTGGTGTATTTCCGTTTAAAAAAAAAAAAAAGTAAATATGTTGCCATCCCCTTTTCAGAGTCCAGATCCTTCCTCTCCCTTCACCTTAAAGTGATGGTGTAAAAGGCTTACTAAGAGGGTGCATAGAAGGCTAAAGCAATAACGCAGCAGCAGATCACTTCCACCAAGAAGCCTGGAGGTGGGGAGGGCGAGGGGGAAGGGACACTCCCTGGAGAAGTCATCCCAAGAGAATGATCAAGCCCCGGATGAGAAATTGTTCTTGAGTTTCACCTTTGGCATTTCTTTTTGATTAATGTGATAGGGAGAAGGTCAGGGTAACAGTTTTTAAAATAGTTCTTAGTTGTCGATGGACGTTTATTTTATTTATTTATATGTAGTGCTGAGAATTGAACCCAGTGCCTCATTCATGCTAGGCAAATGTTCCACCCTTGAGCTACAAGCTCAGTTCTCTCTCTCTTTTTTGTTTTTGTTTATGTTTTGTTTTCTGTTTCTCATGAATGTGGAGAAATCAGAAGAAGCCTCCTTATATCTTCATGGGGCTTGTTTCACCAGTTGATCTCACCATCCTGCATAACTACTGTGGTTCTACTTAGATGGGCAGATGTCTCTTTGGTCTCCTCAGAAACCTCTGCAAGAGAGCAGGACAGGATGCTAGTTAACCGTATTACAAGGCTGCATTATAAGCCATTCTGTGTTTTCAGTTGAAATTATTCTCATTAGTCTCTCATTAAACTCTCTAGATGTGATATTTGTATTTTGCAGCAGATAAATGTTTTTAGCATAGCCCCCAAAATTTGTTGCTGCCCTATACAATTTAACCATAAATCACCTCCTCATTAATTCTAGCCAGAGAAGTTGAGTTCTCAGTTATGTATACCTCCAATTCTTCTATTTATTCACATCTGAAAAGGACATTCCGATGTCTGATTAGGATCTAGTTTCCTCCTTTATTGTCTACAATGGCAATCTTCCACATTGACTAATAATGTAGTTAGGTTATCCCAATCACAACTCTTTCTGTGTTATATATTTCAGATTCTAGAGGATAACCAGGACACTTAAGAGTATTTAGAATGAGTTCCACATCCACAAAATTTAAAAATCAAGTGTAATCTGTTATCAAGGTAGTAAACTACTTCTCGCTCTTGCTGCTTGGCCCCGGACCGCTGGCTGTCAGGCTCTTCAGTCCTTCCTCACCTGTAATTTCAGCTACTTGGGAGACTGAGGCAGAAGGATTGTGAGTTGGAGGCTGGCATGAGCAATTTAATGAGACCCTGTCTCAAAAAAATAAAGCTGGGTGCAGTGGCGCAAGCCTGCCCCAGCTACTCAGGAGGCTGAGCCAAGAGGATTATAAGTTTGAGGGCAGCCTTGGCAGCTTAGTGAGACCCTGTCTCAAAATTAGAAAGTGTCCAGGCAGGTGGTGTATGCCTGTAATCCCAGCAATTTGGGAGGCTGAGGTAAGGATTGTAAATTCAAAGCCAGTCTCAGTAATTTAAGTGAGGCCTAAGCAACTTAATGAGACCCTATCTCAAAAATAAGTAAAAATAAAAAAAGGGCTCTCGATGTGGTTCAGTAGTTAAATGCCCCTGAGAAGTTATGATGCCCTTATATCTCTAATTTGAGGAAGTGAATTCCAACATCATACTAAAAATTGCATTTTCTTTCTGAGGATGACAATTCAAAATAGCCCAGTTCTTTATGTGGAGGGCAGTAGTGGCTCTTAGTACTCTTCCTGAATCCTGCTATTTTCCCTTATCCATTTCCATCTTAATGGTTTTTCATACTTTGAAATGTGTCATCCCTGCACTGAGTACCCCAGTACTGCACTAGTTGGGGCTTTGCTCTTCAGTGGATCTGCTAGCTTATTTTTATAGCAGACAACTTTCCACAGATTAATAGTCCAACATTCCTCTATTTCCATTTCCCTGCTCTTTTTCTTTCCCTCATCAGGATCCCATAGATTTTTGAGCTTTGTGTTGACCTTTGGATTTTAGCTTGCTATAATTGCTTGTTTTAGAAATTCTGAATCCTGTTTTCCCACGTTTTTGGTGATGGGGCTCCACTTTATTTTATATTTGTCCCATTGACTAATGCTTTTTAAAAGATTTCTGAATTAGTGTTACTATTAAGAGTGTTTCTAATTCTGTGCCTTCAGGTGCCCAGTGAGAATTAGTATGTCCTCTGTGATTGTGATTTTTTCCAGCAGGAGGAGAGATGTTTCATTTTTTATCACCAATTTTCCCTCAGCACCAGGACCCGACTTTGACTTTGCTTCTTATTCTATTCATGCAGGTTCAGGTAGATTAAAAGTTCAAGCTCCTTATTAAGTTGTTTCAGTGCCATTTCTTCCTGGGAAATGGCTAATACCTTTTAAATGGCGCCCATTTTCTTTTTCCATTTCTTCTTTTACATTGAGCCAAAAAATGTGTGTTTTTTTTTAATGCTGTTTCAATTTTTTTTTTTTTTTGCTGAGTTTTGTATTTTTTCTCCCAAAGCTTTTCTAGTTTTCTTCAGTGACTTTTTTTTTTTTGTACTAAGGATTGAACCCAGGAGCACTCTACCATGGAGCTACATGCTCAGCCCTATTTTTTATTTTAGACAGGGTCTTGTTAAGCCGGGTGCGGTGTCCCATGCCTGTAATCACAGTGAATTGGGAGCTGAAGCAGGAGGATAGCAAGTTTGAGGCCAGCCTCAACAATTTGGTGAGGCCCTAAAGCAACTTATTGAGACCTTGTCTCAAAATAAAAATAGAAAGGGCTTAGTGCTCTTATATTCAATCTTCAGCACTCCTCCTAAAACAACAACAACAAAGAAAAATACAAACAGGGTCTTACTTAGTTGCCCTCACTGGCCTTGAATTGTGATCCTCCTGCCTCACCTTCCTGAGTAGTTGGGGTTATACAGGTATGAGCCACTATACCTGGCTTCACTGGCCAAATGTTTAAAGGCTTTTTACTGATAATAATTTACTTTTTCTCTTCAAGGAAAAGGATTCATGAAATCAGTGCTTTAGACATTTTGAAATAATATTTAAAAAATAATCCTTTGTAATTCTTAGAGTTTTGATAATTTTATTCAGATTTTTCTCTACTTCAATTTAAGAAGATGACTCATCTTTATTCTAATAAGGGCCTACCTTATTAATCTGTCTTCCTTTATAAGCTCACTACACTTCTGAGGTTGAATTTGTACTGTAGGTGTCTCAAATTCATGGTGACCATTATTAATGTTTCATAATATGCTGGTAATTCAGCCTTAGATGAGGACAGGCTATAGAGCAGAGAACTTGGTGCTTGCCATCCATCAATTCCAGAACTTAAATGGGTTTGTGAGAGGTTTACCTGTTTATGAAATGAGACTGGCTCTAGAAAGAAATGAACATTAGTACCAACACTCCACCATTGAGAGGGAGTGATCAAGATGCCTAGGCTTTGTTCTTTCTAGGTAGAACTCTGTTCCCAAGTCCAGTTGGTTGTGCATGTGCTACTGAAGTGTTAGAATGAGTTCCTGGGATCCTGACCCTGTGCTGGCATAGCTAGTCCACTGCTAGGCCACCAAGGAATGGACCAGGCAAAGTAGGATTTCATCATTAAATGGGCCTTGGCCTCACACCCCTTTGTGAACTCTGGAGCCCTAGTATGTTGTGTAGGACTATGTGGGGAATTCTTTGTAACTGACACAGTGAACTTTCCTTGAATCCCTGAGATTCCTGCTTGGCTTTCTAAGAGATATGGGGACCTCTCTTGCCATGGTTGGGATCCATCCCAAGGCCTTTGTTTGCCATATCAGCTTTTGGAAAGAAGAGCCCCTTAGAGAAACCATTTCTGTATAGGTTTAGAGAGCTTTAACCCCGTGTCATATTTATATATAGAATGCTCTATTTTGTAGCACTTAATTTCAAGTCCTAGGATTTGACCAATGTAGCAGCACTTTTAGAAAATTTATTAGCTGTCTATTTTCTAGAAACTTTTTTTTATTGAGTTTTTCTTTCCTTCCTGGTTTCCATAAAACTATTCTTCTAATGCTTACTTTTGTTAAGTATTCTTGTCTTGCCTCTTTCTTTTGCCACTCCCAGCTATAGATTTAAACATTTAAATATTTTAAAGATTTGTACTTCTTTTTCCCCCTCCCTCCCATATTGAGGATTGAGCCCAGGAGCACTTTGCCACTTGTATTGTACATTCCTAGCCCTTTAAATTTTTTATTTATTTATTTTTTATTTGTTCTTTTTAGATACACATGTGGCAGTAGAGTGTATTTTGACATACATACATGGAGTATAACTTATTCTGATTAGGATCCTAGTCTTGTGGTTGTACATGATGTGGAGATTCACTAAAGTGTATTCACATACATACATTGGAAAGTTATTTCTGATTTTTCTACAGTTTTTCCTATTCCTATCCTTCCTCTCTTCTCTTCATTTCCTTTTGTCTATTTCCCTTCCCCACCTTGTTGTGTTGTGTGTCAGCAAGCCCCCCCTCCCCTGTTTTTTTTTTTTTTTTTGGTACCCGGGATTGAACCCCAGGGGCACTCAGCCACTGAGCCACATTCCCAGCCCTGTTTTGTATTTTATTTAGAGACAGGCTCTCACTGAGTTGTTTAGTGCCTTTGTTGTTGCTGAGGCTGGATTTGAAACGAGATCCTCCTGTCTCAGCCTCTGGAGCCACTGGGATTACAGGCATGTACCACTAAGCAGCAAGCCCTTTTAATTTTATTTTGAGACAAGATCTCCACATGTTGTCCAGTCTGACTTTGAACTTGTGGTCCTCTTGCCTCAGTTTCCTGAGGACTACAGGTTTGACTTTCACTTTTAAGTCTTCATAGATGTGATTGATTTTATGTATGGTGTGAGATATAGAGATCTAGTGTTCATTTTTCTATAAGCTAACCAATTGTTTAAGCTCCAAATATGCATTTCCATTTGCTTTTGCCTCTAATAACAGTCTTTTATTTTTATTTTTTTAATACCAGGGATTGGACCCAGAGGCTTTATACCATGAGCTCCATCCCTTGCCTGTTCCATCCCTTGCCTGTTTTTATTCTTTATTTTGAAACAGGGATTCCATAAATTGCTGAGACTGGCCTTGAACTTTTGAACTATTGATCCTCCTGTCTCAGCTTTCTGAGTCACTGCTATTACAAGTCTGTGCCCGCTGTGCCTGGCCTCAGACAGTTTTTATTCTTTATTTTGAGATAGAGTCTCACTAAGTTGCTGAGGCTGGCTTGAACTTGTTATCCTCCTGCTGCAGCCTCCTGAGTCCCTGGATTACTGATGTGTGCCACTGTGCCCACAACAATATATTTTTTAAAGTTTTATCTTTTCATGTTTGAGTCTTTTTTAAAAAAATTTTTGCACTGGAGATTGAACCCAGGGGCACTTAACCACTGAGACACATCCCTAGCCATCCCCCCACCTTTTTTTTTTAATATTTATTTTTTAGTTTTAGTTGGATACAATATCTTTATTTTATTTATTTATTTTTATATGATGCTGAGGATTGAACCTAGGGCCTCGCATGTGCTAGGCAAGTACTCTACTGCTGAACCACAACCCCAGCCCCAACCATAGCCCTTTTTTATTTTTTGTTTTGAGACAGGGTCTGGCTAAGTTGCTTAGTGCCTCACCAAATTGCTGAGGGTTGATTGAACTTGTGATCCTTCTGCCTCAGCCTTCTGAGTCATGGGATTACAGGCATGTGCCACTGTGCTGGGTTCATATTTAAATCTTTTTTTTTTTTTTTTTTTGGTACCAGGGATAGAATCCACTAAGTCACATCCCTAACCCTTTTTTATATTTAGAGACAGGGTCTTGCTAACTAAATTGCTGAGTCTTTTTTTTTTTTTAAACATAAACCAGTAGTGGTCATTTATTATAATATTAAATATTATATACTGTACATAATTGTACATGCTGTACTTTTTTCTTTTTTTTTTCTAATGCTGGCTTTTGAATTCACAGTCCTCCTGCTTCAGCCTTCTGAGTCACTGGGATTACAGGTGTGGGCCAATGTGCCTGGCTTATGTTTAAGTTTTCATTTGGAATTGATTTGTATGTGTGGTGTCAGATTGGAATTCAGGATAGTTTTCCCCCTATGGCTAATTGTTTTTTTCAGTATTAATTTTATACCTGAGTCATTTATATTTCAAATTCAAATGGAAGAGATAAACTGGCTCTATTTCCTCTTTTTTGGTCATGTGGTATTTCTGTCTTACAGGTTCTTTTTATCATTTTGAAAACACTTCCAGGTAGACTATGAAAGATTATGATGAACTTCTCAAATACTATGAAATATATGAAACTATTGGAACAGGTAATTGTTATTTTTTTTTTTTCTTGGAGGCAGAGGATAGATCAACTATTTGAGAGTATAGTATTTTGAGGCTTTTTAGTCTAATTTATGCTGTATTAAAATTTTCTACCTAAGAAAAAGTGGAGCAAGGGTAGAGTAAAGTAGTAGAAGGGCTTTATATTGCAAGGACTTTGACTTGTATCCTAAGTAAGTCATTGGCCAAAAAAAAAGGGAAAGAAAGAAAAAGAAAAAATAAGTCATTGGAGAGTTTTGAGCCTAGGAGTGGTGGGACCTTTGTTTTCAGTGGGTCACTCTGCTTGATGGTGAAAAGATTGTGGGGGAGAGGGAAAGGGCAAAGGTAGAGAGAAGTTAGGAAGCTATTGTAATAATTCAGGTAAGTGACTCTGGCAATGATGGTGATTTAGGTGAGGATGATAGTGACGGTGATGAGGTAGTTATTGAGGTATAATATGGTAAAAACATTCGAAGTGCACTGATCTTGATGGTTGATCAAATATATATATCTATTTATATTCACTCAGGTACGACAGACCATTTCTAGTCAGTACCTGCTTTTCCCCCATGTAAACATTAATATTTTCCTCCACAGTAAACCAGTGGAATTTGTTTATGTTTTGGCTATGGGGTATTATAAAAGAGAGGAAATAAGGATGGTTCCAGGGTTTTGGGCCTGAGAGCACCTGGGAAAATGAAGTTGCTTCTTACTGAAATGGTAAAGAATTTGGAACAGGCTACCAGAAGCTTCTTTTTGGAAGTGTTAATTTGAAGATTGAGAAATCTAAGGAGAAACATTTATTCTGCTTTTGACCCAGTTTTAAAGCATAATTGCTTATCCTCAGAATTTTAAAACTGAGTGGAAGTTTTATATAATTTGTCTTTGGTCTCAGCAACTTTATATTATGTTCTAGCAATGTTAATTATAAAACAGTTGTAGCTGGATGCAGTGGCGCATGCCTGTAATCCCAGTGGCTTGGGAGGCTGAGGCAGGAGGATCACTAGTTCAAAGTCAGCCTTAGCAAAATTGAGGCACTAAGCAACTTAGTGAGACCCTATCTCTACATAAAATACAAAATAGGGCTAGGGATATGGCTCAGTAGTGGAGTGCCCCTGAATTTAATCCTTGGTACAAAAAAAAAAAAAAAAAAAAAAGTGAACAGGTGTTTCTGCTTGAGTCCTTGTTTATCTCTTTGTCATAAATTTTCTTGTGCATAGGTGGCTTTGCAAAAGTCAAGCTTGCCTGCCATATCCTCACTGGAGAGATGGTAGCTATAAAAATCATGGATAAAAATGCACTAGGGGTAAGTTTAAAATTGTTCTTTTAATATTCTCCTTGTAGAGCAGTTTTGTGATTAAAACCTGAATATCCTAATTACTATTCTTAGAATAATATTTTTATGCCTTTAAAAAATGTATAGAGATCTGTGGTTTTAAAGTAGTCTGGGTGGGTGGGAGGGTTACTTTGTCCTTCAGATTTTAATGTAGGGGTTTGAACTCTGTAACATTCATTTTTTTTTGGTGGTTGTTTCATAGTCTTTTTTTTTTTTTTGGTGGCACTAGGGATTAAACCCAGATCCTTGTGCATTTGAGGCAAACACTCTACCAACAGCACTGTTTCATAGTCTTGGAGGAGTTTCTGAATATTAATATCTCCCATTTTTACCCTTTCACAATACTCTAATGTTGATATATTTTGTAGTATAGATAAGTAGATAGATAAGTCTTAGATCCCAGCTTTTTATTCAAAGTGACTTTAGAAGTTATCTAATGAATCCTTTTCTTAATCAGTATTTTTTTCCTCTCTGAGAATGCTTCCAGGTTTGAGTTGTTCATTACTTACTAAAATAGCCCATTCAATTTGTGGTTTTGGCTATAATATATATAAAATTATTATTATTTTTATATTGAAGTAAAACCTGTTTATATTGATGGTCCTTTTTGTGCCTTCTATGCCTTTCCAGTGTTTGAAGTTGTTAGGAGTCTTCATTTTCTAATTCCCTCTACCATCCTTCATGTAGTTTGTTTCTGGACTTAATTTTTGTTTCTAGTCTTCTGAGAGTTAGTGAACTCTAACTAGTCTCTAAGTATATACCTGTGGCTTGCCCTTCCTTCCTTCCTTCCTTCCTTCCTTCCTTCCTTCCTTCCTTCCTTCCTTCCTTCCTTCCTTCCTTCCTTAATACTATTGGGGATTGAACCAGGGGTGCTCCACCACTGAGCTATATCCCCAGACCTCTTTATTATTTATTTTGAGAAAAGGTCTGGCTAAGTTGCGCAGGCTGGCTTTAAACTTGGAATCCTTCTGGCCTTAGCCTCCCAAGATGCTGGCTGTTTCTTTTTTTGAGGATCAATTTTGAAAATTAAGTTTTTTCTCTGTTTAAAATCTTTTAAGTATTAGAAAAGAAATTTCTAATTTCAGACTAGCTGGGCATGGTTTTGCATGCCTATAATCTTAGCAATTTAGGAGTCTAAGGCAGGAAGACCACAAGTTGAAGGCCAGCCTGGGCAACTTAGTGAGACCCTGTCTCAAAATAGAGTAAAAAGAGGTTAGGTATGTATCTTAGTGGTAAAGTGCTTGCCTACCAGGTTCAAGGCCCTGGGTTCCATCCTATTACTCCCTGCCCCCCCCCAAAAAAAAAAGTTAAAGAAAAATGACTTTTTCTTTTGGATTGAGTTAGTATTATAATTATTCATAGTTTACAGTTTAGTAAACAGTATAAACATTTTAAGCCTTGCATGTACTAAGCAAGCACTGAGCTATGTCCCCAGTCCTTTTTAGATTTTATTTTGAGACAGGGTCTCACTAAGTTGCCCAGGCTGGCCTTGAACTTGTAACTCTTCTGCCTCTGCCTATAGGCATATACCCCGTTTGCCCAGCTGTAACATGCTCTTAATTATGAAACATAAAAAATATTTCTTAAATGTTTTCTTATTGTTGGAATGAGACAGGATTTAGCATTCATTAATCATTACCTTATTTTTTATTATTAAGGATATAAGCCATGATTAACATACATAAATGAGTCACAGGAAACTAAGGAGTTTTGATGTAGAAATGTGATTTAATTCTTTGAATTCTCTTCAAGATATGTGTTAAAAAATCTGACAATTATTATTTTTCTTTTTTTAAATTCTGATTTGTTATACATAATGGCAGAACACAATTTATTTCATATTACACATATAGAGTACAATTTTTCAAGACACTGATTGTACACAAAGTATTTTCATATCATTCGTGTCTTATACATGTACTTAGGGTAGTGATGTCTAACTCATTCCATTACCATTCTTATCCTCTTATCCCCTTCTTTCTCCTTCCTCTCCTTTGCCCCATCTAAAGTTCCTCCATTCCTCTCATGCTCCTCCTCCAATCGCCATTATGAGTTAGCATCCTCATATCAAAGAAAACATTTGGCCTTTTATTTTTTGGGATTGGCTTGCTTCACTTAGCATTATATTCTCCAACTTCATCTGTTTACCTGCAGATGCCATGATTTTATTTTATTTTAATGCTGAGTAATGTTCCAGATAATTTATTTTTAATAATCTATCGAACAGGGGCTGGGGATGTGGCTCAAGCGGTAGCGCGCTCCTCTGGCGTGCGTGTGGCCCGGGTTCGATCCTCAGCACCACATACAAACAACGATGTTACGTCCGCCAATAACTAAAAAATAAATATTAAAAAAATTCTCTCTCTCTCTCTCTCCCTCTATCACTCTCTCTTAAAAAAAATAATAATCTATCGAACAATAATTCAGTCTTCAATCTTTTTTTTTTTTAGTTCTCAGTACTATATTCATTAATCTAATAAAAGAACATTAAAATTCATTTTTCTTGGGCTTTTAAACATTGATTACAAATTTAATTAATTCTCTCGAGCAATTTAGATCTCTCTCTCTCTCTCTCTCTCTCTCTCTCTCTCTCTCACACACAAGGGATTGAACCCAGGGGCTCTTAAACCCTGAGCCACATCCCCCAGCCCTTTTTCATATTTTATTTAGAGACAGGGTCTTGTCTAGTTGCTAAGGGCCTCACTAAGTTTCTGAAGCTGGCTTTGAACTTGTCTCCTCCTGACTCAGCCTCCCAAACTGCTGGGATTACAAGCATGCACCACTGTGCCCTGCTTGCAATTGATTTTTTTTTTGTAAATATGGAAAGCTTCATGAATTAGCGTGTCATCCTTGTGCATGAGCCATGCTAATTTTCTCTGTACCAATTTTAGTATATGTGCTGCCGAAGAAAGCACTTGTAATTGATTCTTGATCAAGACCTGTTGTCTGGTTACATAATTCTAGATAATTGAATTTTGAGCCCTTGATGATTAGCTTGAGTCCATTTTTTTGGCGGGGGCGGGTACTGGGCATTGAATTTAGAGGCACTTGACCACCGAGGCACATCCCCAACCGTATTTTGTATTTTATTTAGAGACAGGGTTGTGTTGTTTAGTGCCTCACCATTGCTGAGGCTGGCTTTGACCTTATAATCCTCCTGCTTCAGCCTCCCAAACCGCTGGGATTAAAGGTATGTGCACCACGGCTGGCACTTGAGTCCATTTTTATAAGGTTTTACTTGTTATTTCATGGGATTTCTAGGTTTCTGTCTTTTCAAACATTTCAGCTTGGCTTATCTTTCTCCCTAACCAACTTTTATTTTTTTTGGATTGAACCTACATGTGCAACAACCCCATCCCATTTTGAGATAGGATCTTGCTAAATGACTGAGGCTGGCCTCAAACTTGCAATCTTCCTGCCTCAGCCTCCCAAGTTCCTGCGATTATAGGCCTGCACCACTGAGTGTGGCTCTTGATTGGCATTTTGTTGTTGTTATTGTTGGTACTGGGTATTTAACCCAGGGGCTTACCGTTGAGCCACATCCCCAGCCTTTTTTATTTTTTTGTTGTCTCGTTAAGTTGCTTAGAGCCTCATTAAGTTGCTGAGGCTGGTCTTGAGCTTGCAAACCTCCTGTTTCAGCCTCCCGTGTCATTGGGATTAGAGGTATATGCCACCATGCCTGAATTTTTCTGTTTTTGAACAGTTTGTTTTAGGGCTTTTGATAGTTTTTCTGTATAGTATTGAAGCTGCTGGTGTGGATACTAGGAATATTTCCTATTAAATTATTGCTCATTTGAAATGATGTTTTGTCACAGAGTGATTTGCCCCGGGTCAAAACAGAGATTGATGCCTTGAAGAATTTGAGACATCAGCATATATGTCAACTCTATCATGTGTTGGAAACAGCCAACAAAATATTCATAGTTCTTGAGGTTAGTAGTATGTTCCAGAGACCTAAAACTTTTGGTCACTTTATCAATAGTTGAGAGAAATTATGTTTCACCTAAAAGATTAAAATAAATGTTAAGTGGTTTGCCTGTTTGAATTCTGTCTCTAGTAATTTAGATAATTAAAGTAGACATATATAACAAATTTATGGTATACGTACTCTCTCTAATATACCCCTAATGAGGTGGTTTAGATTATTGGATAAAATAAGCTAGAATTTGGTCCCAAAGGGAAGGATCCATTTCAGTTCTATATGGTATATTGATTTCCTAGGTCTAATAAATATCTACAAACCTGGTGGCCTAAGATAGTAAAAATTTGTCTTAGGGTTCTGGAGGATTGAGTTCCTCCCAAATCAAGACATGGGCAAGATTGTTTTTTTCTGGAGGTTCTTTCTTGATTCCTAGTGTTTCCTGGCAATTTTTGGTGTTCTGTGGCTTATGGATACACCAAACCACTCCATTCTGCCTTCATTTCCAAATGGTCTTTTCTCTTTTGTGTGTCAGTGTGTCTTCAAATTTCCCTCTCATAGGAACCCAAGTCATTGGATTAAGGCCCACTCTAATTTAGTATGACTTCCTCTTAATTGGGTTATTTTTACAAATAACTTTACAAATGAGGTCGCATTCATAGGTCCCACATTAGGGCTTGAGCATATCTTTTTTTGGGGGGGGGCAGTTTAATTCACAGCATATAGAGTTTCCAGTCTATGTGTTATGGAAACTAAACTCTTTCAAGTTTTAAACTGCCCTTTGTGGCATTAAACATAGTTTTGAGAACTTGTGTCATTCATCTCTTAGTTTTAGCCAAAGAATATGTAGCTACACACTGTTTTTACAGATTAACGCTGTTTTAAATACATTTTAAAATTTGTGTTGAAAGTTTTGGACCTAGAGCTATTTTTACTTTACTATAGATCTACCCATATGGTCTGCTATAGTGATTTTAAAATCTTTTTCTTTGGAGGCAGGGCCTTCCTATGTTGCCCAGGCTGTACTCTACTTGAACTCCTATATTCAAACAATTCTTTCTCAGTCTCCTGAGTAGCTGGGATTGCAGTGCATGCCACCATACCTGGCTGAAATTCCTAAAAAAAAATAAATGAAAACTCAAAATATTCATGAACCTTGGACAAAATTTAAAAGGTACAAGAGAATATATGTTAAAAATAAAATCCTCTCTACCCTGTATTCCATTTATCCAATTCCTTTTCCTCTGTGTCATTCACTATTTTTCTTGTTTCTTATGGATACCTAGAAATATTTTACCTATGTATGTATATGTTTGTGTGTGTCTATGTATGTATAGCCTATGATTACAAACTATAGTACTTTGTACCTTGTGTTTTTCCCCACTTAACATTTTATTTATTTATTTTTTATAGTACTGAGAACTGAACCCAGGACCTTGCTAGGCAGGCACTCTACCACTGAGCTACATCCTCTGTTCTTTATGAAAATTTTATTTTGAGAGGTCTTATTAAGACTGACCTTGAATGTGCTGTGTTCCTTCTGCCTCAACTTCATGAGTAACTGGGATTATAGATGTGGCCATCAGGCCAGGCCCACTTAGCATTTTAGCTTACCAATTACCTATGTACATTCATGGAGATTTTAAATGTTTTTTCTCTTTGTTATTTTTGTATTTTTAAAAAAAAATTAAAATTTTGGATACTTTTTCTCTTTATTATTTTTGTATGGAAAAATATGATATAGTTTGTTTTCTTCATATAAATCTTATTGGATAGAGTTTTAAAAAATTACTACTGAGGCGTAGTTTATATACTATAAAATGCACAATTAGGTATACTGTATATACTTATGTACTTATCACCTGACTCAAGTTATAAAACATCTCCATCATCCTAGAAAGTTTTCTCCAACCTTTTCAAAGTAAAATTTTATAGCAGTACCTGCTCTGCCTTTCCCAGTAACCACTGATCTAATTTCTTTTACCATAGATTATTTTTACCTCCTCTAGAACTTAATGTGAATGAATCATATAGTCTGTACTCTTGTGTGTTGTTTATTTTGCTCAGCATAATGCTTTTGCAAGTCACCATATCAATATGTTATACTCTTTTGCACTTTGCTTTTTTAAAAATACCTGATATTGTCCCATATTAGTTTGTAAAGAGCTCTCTCTCCTTTTTAAAATTGTTGCTGTGAATTTCATTTCTTCTTTTTAAATTATTGCCACGAATTTCATTTTATAACTGTGACATAATTTATATAGTGAGAGCATTTGGTTGTTGCTATGGTATGAATGTCAGTGTCCCCACCAAACTCTATACTGGAACGTAATCTCCAGTATGATTGTATTAAGAGGTAGGGCCATAAGGAGGAGGGGTGAGAACTCAATTAGTTCTCCTATAAAAGAAACTTCAGGCAACCTGCTTATTCCCTTCTGCCATGTGAGGACACATAGCTAGTGCCATCTATGAGTAACAAGTCTTCATCATATATAAAATCATCTGGCACTTTGGTCTTTGACTTCCTAGCCTCCAGAACTGTAAGCAATAAATTTCTGTTCTTTATAAGTTATCCAGTGTAAGGTATAATACCATGGATGGGCTAAGACAGTTTGTTTCCAGTTTTCTGCTTTTATAAACAGTGTTGTTTCAGTGAATGATGTTTAATATGCATCATTGTCAATTTAAGTATATCTGTAGGAACAATTCTTTGAGGAACTGTGAGGTCAAAGGCTATATGCATTTATAATTTTAATTGACATTGCCAAAATGAATTTTTTTTCCCAAAATGAAATAAAATTTTAATTGGAAACTGAGTTTACAAAAAGTATTGCTGCTCTAGAGAAAGGATGGAAAGCCTAGAGCTTTGAGCTGGAACCTCTTCTCCCGCAAACACTGAAGTTCCTCTGTGCAACCTGAGTCTTTCTAATGCAGATGGAAAATCACTAGTCTTTGGACAGCAACCAACAATAATTACTGGAGAAATAATTATTGCAGCTTTAAAAAAATTCTTAGATAACTATTGGGCATGGTGGTGCATACCTGTTATCCCAGTGACTTAGGAAGCTGAGGCAGGAGGATTTTAAGTTCACAGCTAGCATTAGCAACTTTGTGAATCCCTATGCAACTTGGAGAGGCCATGTCTCAAAATAAAAAATAAGAAGGGCTGGGTATGTGGCTCAGTGGTAAAGTGCTCCTGAGTTCAATCCCCAGTACCAAAAAGAAAGAAAGAAAGAAAGGAAAAAAAGTAGGTAACTGTAGTAAATGTAAGCATATTAAGATGAGAATGGGTTGTAATTCTTTGCTATAAAAATATAAAACCCTGAGTGAACGTTTTAAAACCACAGTGTAGTTAGTTCTACTTTTGTTTACTGTTAATAAAACTGTTCAAGAAAAGAGTCATTGTTCTCATTCCTGGAATAATTATTGACTTGTTTGATCCTTAGAGTGTATTTTTGAATATGCTCACTCATCTCCCATCTGACTTCAATGTAATTTTTTTTATATTCCTCTGAAGTTATTTCTGTAAGCTATAACAATATCTATTTGACTCTCTTGCTGTTGAAGTACTGCCCAGGAGGAGAGCTGTTTGACTACATAATTTCCCAGGATCGCCTGTCAGAGGAGGAGACCAGAGTGGTTTTCCGTCAGATAGTGTCTGCAGTTGCTTATGTGCACAGCCAGGGTTATGCTCACAGGGACCTCAAACCAGTAAGTGACTGTGACATACTTTCATACTCAGATGAGAGTTCAGCATTATCTAACTGGTGTTTTTGGGCTTCTATATGTTCTGTTTAAGAATCTATCTTAGCTTTGCTTCTTTTTCTTTATTATTATTATTTTTTAATATTTATTTTTTATTTGTAGTTGTACCCAATACCTTTGTTTTATTTATTTATTTCTATGTGGTATTGAGGATCAAACCCAGGGTCTCGAATGCACTAGGCGAGTGCTCTGCCCCTGAGCCACAATCCTAGCCCTACTTCATTTTCTTTTGTTCCAGTCAGAATCTATCCCATTTCTTTTTTCCTCCTTTTGAATTATGGTAGACTTTTTGGATAGATAGCATTTTTTCTATCTGTCATTTACATATTATTGTAAAAGTCCTTGTAATCAGTATTTTATTTCTAAGAAAAAAAGAGTCATAGAGGGTTTCCATAGTTTTTCTAACACTGTGCTCTTTTAATTTAAATCCATCTCCTCAGGAGTTCAATGGAATCAACAGACTCCTTTTTTTTTGGACTGTACTGGGGATTGAACTTGGGGTTCAGCTATATCCCTAGCCTTTTTAAAATTTATTTATTTTTTTAATTTTAAGACTGGATCTGGCTAAGTTGTGGAGGCTTGCCTCAAACTTGGGATCCCCTTGCTTAAACCTTCTACAGACTTGACTTTTTAAGGACTGCTGAATAAAAATGTGAATATTCTTTTTAAGTCTACAGGCTAGTGGATGATAGTATATATGGATTTAAAGGTTCAGGGACTTAAAATTGGTCTGAGAAGATATGGCAGTTTTGTTATCCTTTTTTATCTTTTTATACCCAACTTTTCAATTTGAAATTACTCTTTAGGTTTAAACTTTCCTTTGGCACAAATTGTGTTTGCTTTTAGTTGGCCCTCAGAGTACCAGTGAGAAATGGTTTATGCTGGTGTGTCCTGTGGCGAAGTGGTATACTTATCAACATTCCTTATCTTTCTCCTTTTATATGTCTTATTATTTCACTACTTTCCAGTGATTTTTTCATCTTATTGTACCCAGGATTTTCAATATTAATAATCTTAAATCATTTTAAGAAATGGCTAGAGGTGGGATGTAATATAAGGAAATAAGAATATAATTATTGCTGAGCATGGTGGCACACTCCTGTAATCCTAGATGCTTGGGAAGCTGAAGCAGGAGGATTGTGAGTTCAAAGCCAGCCTCAGTAGTGGCGAGGTGCTTAGCAATTCAATGAGATCCTGTCTCTAAATCAAATACAAAATAGGGCTCAGGATGTGACTCAGTGGCCGAGTGCCCCTGAGTTCGATCTTGGGTACAAAAAAAAAAAAAGAATATAGTTATCAAAGTATCTTTGTTTTCCCAGGAAAATTTATTGTTTGATGAAAATCATAAATTAAAGCTGATTGACTTTGGTCTCTGTGCAAAACCCAAGGTAAGTGCAGAAATAAAAATGCATTTATTTCCTTGTAAATGCACCTCTTAATGTGTTATTGTGCTCTGACTTCCACTTGGTCTTTATTGAGCTTAATTGCCTCCATTGTGAAGAATGTTAAATTTGCTGGTTTTAGTGGCGCCTGCTTGTAATCTCAGCAGCTCAGGAGGCTGATACAGGAGCATTGCAAGCTCAAAGCCAGCCTTAGCAATTTAGTGAGGCACTAAGCAACTCAATGAGAACCTTTCTCTAAATAAAATACAAAATGGGGCTGGGGTTATGGCTCAGCGGTAGAGCACTTGCCTTGCAAGTGCAAGGCCCTTGGTTCCATCCTCAGCACCACATAAAAATAAATAAATAAATAAATAAATAAATAAAGTCATTAAAAAATTAAATAAAATACAAAATAGGACTGGGGGTGTGGCTCAGTGGTTGAGTGTCCTGGGGGTTCAATTCCCGGTACCAAAAAAACCCAAAAAGAATGTTAAATTTAATTCCAGGCATCAGTAATTTGTATAAATCCTTTAGATGATTCTAAAATAGGTAGCCAAGATTGACAGCCACTGGTCTAGGTCTAGTGTTGGTCTTGTTGAAGACCCCATAGGTAAGCTGTGAGAGAATTTGTAGCACCAAGGCCACATGAAGTCATTAGCACGAATGCTAAAATAGATCATGTGCTTGCAGTTTGAGTGTATTGCCACTAGATGATGCCTTTGTTCATAGGGCTAGGAGTTGAGAATTTGTTATAAACCTATTTGTTATTCAAATGGTTATGTAACTAAGAATTAGTTATATTTTGTGAAAATCCCCTTTCCTTAGGAAAGAAGAAGGAAAATGTCCAAATGAACTTCTATATTTATACCATTAGGTATTTCTCTAATTTGCATTCCATAGTTAAGCACTGGTATTCTTCAGCATAACTTCTCTTTGAGGTGAATTTGAACTTCCCAGGTTTGCTTTCTGTAGCAGATCTCCTGTGTGGCTGCCTGTTGGAGGTTTCTTCTTGAGTTCTCTAATGATGGTAGTTACAGTCTCTAAAATGAGCTGTCTACACTCATTAAGAATGTCAAAATTGCAGACTTGTCTTAGCCCTTTGTAGTCCCATGATTATTTCCTGTCCCAGTCAGAATTAGCTAGGTGCAAAGGGAAGCAGATTTTGCCCCTTCAGTGGAATGTTTGATTCTTTCTGATCCTCTTCCCTCCCTTGGCTCTTCAGTGACTATCAGTGGAACCTTGTGTTTGGGAAGCAAATGCTAGAAGGTATTATTTTTTTCTAGACATATAAAGATTATACTTTGAACAGATAAGCTTGTTTGAGTCATGATGTCCACAGCAGGCAGTGGGAAATGTTTGTGACAGACTTCAGTACCCTTTTTTTTATGGCTGCCACAGATTTGACCGCATAGAGCCATCTAAGAAAGCGGGAGTGGCTGGGGAGAGAATCACCTCCATCTTCTGTGAAGAACTCATTTCTGGGCATATTTCATTTATAAATGAGATCTCAGTTTCACAAGTCCTTTGCCAGCTGTAAGACTATAGGAGTTGGGCAGTAACTTCATTTTCATTGTCTTGATATTTCTGTCGGGGAGAGGAGCATGAGCAAATTTCTCAACAGATCTGGGAAGCTAAGTTGGTGATTCTCTTACAACTGAATCTAGAAATAGGTTGTCAAGGCCCTGTGCTACATACAATTTTGCTTTCTTTCCTCTAAGGAGAAAGAAGCTCTCTGAATTTGTAAGGATTTAATATTGGAGATAGGGGCTGGTAAAGACATGATCATTTCTTCTTGAGTATTTAAGGGTGGGAAGACACAGGGGCTCGGATGTATGCTAGGCTGATTATTGTGTACATGAGTATCTAGGGAAGTATGAACCTGACTTGACTGAGTGAAGGAGAAAAAAAATATTTCATTTGTGTCAGGTGGTAGTGGTATAGGAAATCCAGAGAAGCAGAGAACACATGTGCATATAGACATATATGCAAAGAATATCAGATTGGCTATAGAAGTCTTTTCCTTATTTGGAAAAATTCTTCATTTAACTTCTTTTTGTGTTCAAAGAGTGTTTATCAAGGTTCAATACTCTCTCTCTACTTTTTTTTTGGCATTGGGACTGCACCCAGGGGTACTTAACCACTGAGCCACATTCCCAGCCTTTTAATTTTTCATTTTGAGACAGGGTTTCACTAAACTTGTCAAATTGCTGAGGCTGGCTTTGAATTTGTGATCCTGTCTCAGCCTCCCAAATTGCTGGGATTATAGGCATGTGTCACTGTGCCCAGCAAGATTTAATTCTGTTTAGGGCTGTAATTAGTGTTTTATTTTTTTAAAAAAATATTTTTTTAGTTGTAGATGAACACAATACCTTTATTTTATTTATTTGTTTTTATATGGTGCTGAGGATGGAACCCAGTACTTCTAGGTGAGTGCTCTGCCACTGAGCCACAATCCCAGCCCTAAGTGTTTCATTTTTATCTTATTGACAGGGTAACAAGGATTACCATCTACAGACATGTTGTGGGAGCCTTGCTTATGCAGCACCTGAGTTAATACAAGGCAAATCATATCTTGGATCTGAGGTAATTATTCATTGATTAAATCAGTATAATCAACATATTTATTGGTGATTTATAGTTGAGTGACTCAAGCATTGTGTATTGGGGATATAACAATGAAGTAAGTAATCTTGTTAATCAAAGAGTTTAGTCTGTTTGGGAGTGATATTTATAAGCTAGTACATGGAATGAATAATTTGTGATAAACATAAAAACCTGTAATATTCTTTTGAAGGAGGGATATATTTCTGGTGTTCTTATTGTGGTTGCTTTTGTATTGAACAGTGCCATAGTTTGGACTGATTCGTCCAACTGGGTAGAGTACAAGGTCAGGATTGCAGCCTTAGTTTTCAGAGATGCCAATTAGCAGAGAGAAAACCTGTTTTTTGTCCATAGTTGACTTTCCAAGGCCAGCAGTCCAGGCTTCGCTAGCTTTACAATTGCTACTTCAAGCAAGTTAATTTTTCCTGTTTTCTGCAGTACTAGTGTTGCAGATGTTAGTATCATAAAGTTAAAAAAAAAAAATTAAGTCATCAAAAGCTCAGAAAGTGCTGGGTGGAACAGTCTTTTTTTTTTTAAATTAAATTTTTTTTTTTTTTAAGTTGTTGATGAGACATTTATTTATTTATATGTGGTTCTGTGAATTGAACCCAGTGCTTCATACATGGCTAGGCAAGCACTCTACCACTGAGCTACAACCTAGTTCCTGGAACAGTCTTCTTATTTCAGGATTTCAGGACATCTCCATATCTTTAATATGCTCTTGTGCAATGTGATCCTTTGGGAGGGAAATGTCACAGGTAGCAGCTTGTCCTGATTTTATTTGCTTATAGAATTCACTTTTCATGTGGACTATCTTTTGGAACTACTTTTTCTGCTTTCTTCTCTCATGTAGGCTTTGATACATCTATGAAAATCTTTTTTATTATTTTCTTCATCTTTTAGTTTAACCCCAGACATAAAGAAACTTTTGGGAAATACCAAGTTCTTCTTATTATTTTTTTCTTTTTGTGGTGCTGGAGATTGAACCCAGGGCCTTGACATGTTAGGCAAGCACTCTACCAACTTAGCTATATCCCCAGCAATACCAGGTTATTTAGTTTGTAACATGAGAAGATGGGAACTAACTTGGTTTTGGCAACTTGATTTTGATATAATCTTAAAGGTATAGTATACGATAAAAATAGCATGAGGAACTTTGATATATTTTTATTCAAATTTACAATTGTTTAATTTTCCCTATTTGCTTTATTTTGTCTTTGTGTATACATATGTATATGCACATATTATTACTTTTCTCAATCATTTGAGAATAAACTGGAAGACAGGTGTGGTGCACACCTATAGTCTCAGAGATTTAGGAAGCTGAGGCAGGTGGATCACAAATTTGAGACCAACAAAAAAAGGCTGAAGATGTAGCTCAGTGGTAGAATGCCCTTCAGTTTAATCTCCAGTACTCTGTTTTTTTTTTTTTTTAAGTTGTAGAGAGACACAATACTTTTTTTTTTTTAATCTTTTAAAAAATACCTTTATTTATTTATTTATTTTTATGTGGTGTTGAGGATCAAACCCAGTGCCTCACATGTGCCAGGCAAGTGCTCTACCACTGAGCCACAACCCCAGTCCCAAATCTCCAGTACTCTTAAAAAAAAAAAAAAAAAAAGTAAACTGGAGACATGTCCTCTTTTCACTAATTATGCATATCTTTCCCCAAAGCAAGGCTCTTTTCTTTTTCTTTTTTTTATTAGTTGTTCAAAATATTACAAAGCTCTTGACATATCATATTTCATACATTTGATTCAAGTGGGTTATAAACTCCCATTTTTATACAGATTTATACAGATTGCAGAATCACATCGGTTACACATCCACGTTTATACATACTGCCATACTAGTGTCTGTTGTATTTTGCTGCCTTTCCTATCTCCTACTATCCCGCCTCCCCTCCCCTTCCCTCCCCTCCCCTCCCCTCCCCTCCAATCTTCTCTCTCAAGGCTCTTTTCTTTTGTAACTGTAATTATAAAAACAAGGGAATTTCATGTGGATGTAATTTATTCAGTTACAGTCTATGTTCAGATGGTGTTTCTTATGTCAATGATGTCCTTTTTAGCTTTATCCCTGCCTCTGCTCCCCATCCAGGATTACACATGGTGTTTAGTTACTGTATCTCTTTAGTATTCTTTAGTTTGCAACACTTCCTTAGGCTTTCCTTGAGCTGGTAACTGTGGTCAAGATTTGAACTGAGTGAAGGACTTTTCCATATTTGTCTAGTCTCCCAGAAGGAGTGATATTCATAAGCCTAATCTTACAAGATTCCTAGAAGGCTGGTGATAAGGCCTTGCTAGTCTGAATGTGTCTGAGTTTTTTCCTACATAATTTTGTTTTTTTTGTCCATGTTAGTTGACTTTCCATCCTTCTAAGACAGTGCCTTTAGAACAGTGTACTAAGGAATTATCTGGGATACTTGTTAAAACATGCAGAGCTCAGAGCTGTACCCTTGGAAATTTTAGGTTGTTTTTGAAGTTGGGGATTTAAGAATCTTCATTTTAAAATAAGCAGTTTTTTAGGTGTTTCTCATGCTTATGGTCCAGATCATGCTTTTAAGGACATGTTCCAGTGTAGTATCTCAAAATTCCTTTAGTAATATCTCACAGGAAATGGTTTTAAGTCCCTCTTCTAGTTATTTTTGTGTTTTTTGGTAATTGATAACTTATAGACTGGATTTGCTTTGGCTTATGATTTTATCAGATTAATTTATTCTTACATCTAATTTGAAACTGATGGTGCTTTGAATACTTTTTCTGCTTTCTTCTCTCATGTAGGCTTTGATACATCTATGAAAATCTTTTCTATTATTTTCTTCATCTTTTAGTTTAACCCCAGACATAATGTCTCTGTTGACTTCTTACGGTACTTGACAAGGTCATGTTAGCTCACTCTTTCCTGTGTTGCCTCTTTGCTTTGAATGAGTGCCATGCCATCATACCTCAATTTATAGATTAAATATTTGACAACTCTCTGGCATAAATTGTTAATTTCTGACCTCCTACAACTTGGAACCAAAATCACATGTCAGCTTAAAAGCACATTGTTCACTTGTGGCATCATAATAGAGTCCTAGTAATTTATGTGATTCAGTGAACAGGACAGAATAACCTGGGTTATTCTGGTATAGGTATTATCCAGATGTGTGATGCTGCCTGTTATTTAACTTTATTTCCCTTTTCTTTGTTTTTGTTTTATATTTTATTTTTTTAATATTTTTTAATATTTAATATTTAGGTGGACACAACATCTCCATTTTATTTTTATGTGGTGCTGAAAATTGAACCCAGTGCCTCATGTATGCTAGGTGAGCGCACTACCATTTGAGCCACATCCCAGGCCTCCCTTTTCTTTATATATATATTTTTTGTGATATTGGGGATTGAACCCAGGGTCACTCTACCACTGAGCTACATCTCCAGCACTTTTTATTTATTTTACTTTTTATTTTTGGACAAGGTCTTGCTAAGTTGTCAAGGCTGGCCTCAAACTTACAATTCTTCTACTTCAGCCTCTTAAATCACTGGGTCCCCCTTTTTTACTTCTTTAAAAAAATGCTAGGGTTGTAGCTCAGTGGCATAGTGCTTGCTTAGCATGTGTGAGGCACTGGGTTAGATCCTTAGCACTGCATTTAAAAAAAATAATAAAATAAAGGCATGTTGTCCATCTACAAGTACAAAAAAAATGCCATCCTTCTTATCTCTTAAATTTTTTCTAAGGATCAAATGAGAGTGGGAACTATTACTGGTTGTGTAATACAACTTTTACTGGTTGTGTCAACACTGATCAAGTCAAATTCTGCTTGAAAATAACAGTTACTGATTAGGGCTCATGAACACATGGATGTCTCACATAAAGGTTAAACTCCATCCTTCAAAGACAATGTCATTAAGACATTGGAGATTTATAGGGCTATTTGTGCTGGCAGGCTAGTTTCTAGCCCCTATATTTGAAAAAGTCAATCATTGAGGTTTTAAAAAAATAATTAATTTATTCCAATTAGTTATACATGACAGCAGAATGCATTTTGATTCATAATACATAAATGGAACACACTTTTTCACTTCTGGCTATACATGAAGTAGAGTCACACCATTCGTGCAATCCTACATATACCTAGGGTAATGATGTCCATCTCATTCCACCATCTTTCCTACCCCCATACCACCTCCCCTTTGCCCTTTCCAAAGTTCCTCCATTCATCCCATGGGCCCCCCTTAATCCCCCATTATGGATCAGCATTCACTTAGCAGAGGAAACATTTGGCCTTTGGTGTTTTGGGATTGGCTTACTTCACTTAGCATGATATTAAAATTTCTCTAAATAGAGTTTTTACTGTGTAACTTAGTCACATTTGTAGATTGCCACGAAATTTTCAGACCTATTTTGACATCCCCACGCCTGTTTACATAATCCTCATATGTAACTGAGATCCTTAGTAGCTCTGTAGAATTGCTTTCAGAATCTGAGACCTGGCCTCATTCTTTATCATGACCAATCCATCCAAGCAAAATATATATATATTTTTTTCCTATTAAGTGTTAGCATATGGCTAAGAGGAAAGTTCCTGGGTGGTCTGCCACTGATTGGGTGACTTTGGACACACCTGCTTTTTTAAGCTTCAGGGTTCCAGACTAGAATGAGCAGGTTGAATTGAATGGTCTCTTAGCTCTATTTCAGCTTTTTAAAGATTCTGTGGTTTTATTAAGTATCTTATCATTCTGAAATGTGTTCTATATATTTTTTTTGAATGATTTTTTTTTTCTTCCTCTTAGGCAGATGTTTGGAGCATGGGCATACTTTTGTATGTACTTATGTGTGGATTTCTACCATTTGATGATGATAATGTCATGGCTTTGTACAAGAAGATTATGGTGAGTATTGCAAGGCATAGAATTTCTTTTTTTTTTTAAATAAGTTTATTTATTTATTTATATGTGGTGCTGAGCATCGAACCCAATGCCTTACTCATTCTAGGCACTTGTGCTCTACCACTGAGCCACAACCCTAGCCCCAAGGCATAGAATTTCAGTGTAAAAGTTTTTTACTTATTATACTTTATGTTTTTGGAATGAAGAAAAAATTCTGGAATTAGGTGGTGATGATAATTTTGTGTTTAAGCCTTTTTGTGTGTGTGTTGCTGGGGATCGAACCTAGGGCTTTGTGCAGGCTAAACACATGCTCTATCACTGAGCTACAATCCCAGCACCCAAAACTTTTATGAATATATTAATATCTAGTAAGTCATTTACTTTAAGAGAATAAGCTAGGTGTGGAGGCATATATCTGTAATCCCAGTTACTTTGGGAGGCTGAGGTAGGAGGATTGCAAGTTTGAGGCCATCTTGTAGCATGTTTGGGGCCCTGGGTTCAATCCCCAGAAACCCCGCCCCCCTCAAGTAGAAGTGCTTCAGAAAAGGATGTGGGTGAATGCATTCTGGCAGAGTAGACACTATGAGCAAAGGCATAGGGATGGGAGAAGTATGGGAAGGAATGGTCAGAGATTATTGTGGCTGGACATTGAATCTATACCAGCTTTAGGTCAGAAGATTTCTGAATTAACTCTCATTTCTGGAATGTAGTATAGAGTTGAAAGTGGCAGTTGCAGTTGGCTTGTTGCTTAACCCCTAGAAAGAACATCAAGTCTAAGGGCACTGGGTTGTTTAATTTTTCTTTATTTAACTTAATTTTTTCCTATGATCTGTCTTGGAAAAAGTCTTTAAAATTGATGATTAAACTATAGAGAGGAATTTGGGAAGAGGTGGAATCACAGTTGTTCAACTCTTTAAAGGCTGAGGAGCTCTAATTCTGCTGGGTCAACAAAAAGTAATGATAGCAATAGTGGTTACCACCCCTGTCTTGGGGGCTGTATATGCATTTTTCTCCTTGGTAAGGTGAGATCCATGGGCTTGGGCTGGAAGCCAGTCTCCTGGAGTGTGCTGATGTAGCCAAGACAACTTGTGTTTTCTCTCACTTGAGATTACTCCAATCCTTGGAAGGTAGCAGTTTTTGCTTTGGTTCCTGCTTGCTGACTATAGCTTTATGGGGAGCATTTGGGGAGCTGGTGGAGGGTTTGAGTAGAGAAGTGCTATGATTTGGTTTAGTTTTTAATAGGATTGCACTGGTTGCTGTGTGGATAGACTGTAGGAAGCAAAGAGGAAAATCAGGGTTACTGGGGAAGCAAAGAGGAGAATAAAGATGACTGTTTGGGAGGATATTATAGTGATTCACAGAGATGTTAGTAATGGAGATGGCAAGAAATGGATGGATTCTGGATGTCTCTTTTTTAAAAAAATTTTCTGTTAGCATAAAGTAAAATTGGCCCTTTTTTTGAGGTATTGAGTCTATGAATTTTATAGATTTATGTAACCCCCCATCATAGTCAGAATGTGAACTGATGTCTTTTGTCTTTTGAAGGTAGAACTAACATAATTTGCTGATGTATTGAATGAGTGGAGTAGCCTGAGTGACTAAAAAGTTTGGAGCTGCCATTAACTGAGATGGGGAAGACTTGGTAGAGAGAGGGGATGACCATAATTCAGTTTGGACATAAAGAATGTTTCTGTTTTGTCCAGCTTTTCATATTTGTTGGCATAAGGTTGTTATTTATCCAGCTATAAAACCCATAACCTGGAGGTTACACTGTTAACATATTTATCAGATTTTTATGTTTTTTTTTCAGACTTTAGTCTATACATGTATAAGGAATCATATATTTTATCCTTCCCTCCCTCCCTTCTTCCTTTTTTTTTTTTTTGTGATACTAAAGATTTAACCCAGGGTCTCAGCTTACTAGGCAAGTACCCTTCCACTGAGCTACACCCATAACCTTTGTATTTTCTTGTTGGGTTACCTGCTTCCCAGTTTATTTTTGCACAGATGGCAGCATACCCTAAACATACTGTTTTGCCTCTTGTTTTTCTCTCTTAACAGTGTATTGGAAATCATACCACTTCATATCTAGCGCAGAGCCTCTTCATTGCTTTTGGGTAGGGGGCAGTATTAGAAACTGGACTCAGGGGTATTGTGCTTGCTAGTTAAGCACTCTACCACTGAGCTACATCCCTATCCCTATTTATTTTATTTAGACAGGGCTACCTAAGGGCTGGCTTCAAACTTGAAATCTTCCTGCCTTAGCCTCCCAAGTAGCTAGGATTATGGGGATGTACCACCACACCTGGTTCTTCATTCTTTTTAATGACTGCACAGAATAGTATATGTTTGTACCATAATTTATTTAACTGATCCTATGTTAATGGACATTTAAGTAATTTCCAAATGGTCATTTTGCATATTGTGAACATATCTGTAAGAAAATTGCCAGTTCTCAGTACTGCAAAAATGATAAACCAAAAAAAGAAAGAAAGAAAAAGAAAATTGCTAGAAGAGTTGCTGAATCAAAGGATATATGATTAGAAATTTTCATACATATTGCCATATTACTTTCATCAAAGTTTTATTAGTTCATACAGTTACCAGTAATAGCAAGATGGTACCAATTTTCCGTACCCCTTTTTGCTCTTCATAGTTAAGATTATTATTATTTTTTTTGCTGTGCAGGAATTTTAACTTTTGTATATGTGTGTGCAGTACTGGGGAATTGAACCTAGGGCCTTGCATGGTAGGCAAGAGCTTACCACTACATCCCCAGCCCTCAATTTTTATTGAGTCAAATTTACCAATCTTTTTATTTATTTATTTAAATTGTTTTTCTAATTTTCTTTTTTTAATTGATTTTATTTTTAAAAAATACATGACAGTGGAATGCATTATAATTATTATTACATATATAGAGCACAATTTTTCATATCTCTGTATATAAAGACCAATTCATGTCTTCATACATGTACTTCGGATATTGATATTCATCACATTCTACCATCATTGCTAACCCCCTGCCCCCCTCTCTTCCCCTCTCACCCCTCTACCCTATCTAGAGTGCATTTATTCCTCCCATGCTCCCTCTACCTACCCTACGATGAGTCAATCACCTAATATCAGAGAAAATATTCAGCATTTGTTTTTTTGAGATTGGCTAACTTCATTTAGAATTATCTTCTCCACCTTCATCCATGTGTAAAGCCGTGAGTTTGATTCCCCAGCACTTTTCCTGCAAATGCCATGATTTTATTCTCTTTTATTGCTGAGTAATATTCCATTATGTATATATGCCATATTTTTTTAATCAATTCATCAACTGAAGGGCATCTAGGTTGGTTCCACAGTTTAGCTATTGTGAATTGTGCCGCTATATAGTTTACCAATCTTCTATTGTCAAGTTTGGAAAGGCTTTCTGACTTAGGTTACTTTTTAAAGTTTACATGTTTTCTTTTTCTTCTTCTTCTTCTTCTTTTTTTTTTTAATGGTATTGGGGATTGAACCCAGGAGCATTCTACCTCTAAGGTTCATCCTTATCACTTCCTCTCCACCCTTTTAAAAAACATTGAGGAAGATCTTACTAAGTCACTCAAGCTGACTTTGAACTTGCAATCTTCTTGCTTTAGCCTCCTGAGTTACTGGGATTACAGGTGTGCGCCACTGTACCCAGTTTATTTTAGTGTTTTTATGGTTTCATTTTTTTTTATTTAAATATTTGTTCATCTGGAATTTGCTTTGGTGTAGTTTCTTGACTTTAAACATTTTTTAAGCTAAAAAAATTAAATAAATCCCAGTGTCTTAAGAGGTTGAGACAGGAAGATTGCAAGTTCAAGGCCAGCCTTAGCACCGTAGTAAGACCTTGTTTCAAAATAAAAAATAAAAAGGGCTGGGGATGTGGCTCAGTGGTAAAGTGCCTCGGGGTTACATCACCAGTACAAAAAAAAAAAAAAGTTTGTTTTCATATTCTAGATTCTGGTATGTATGATTTGAAGCTCCTTATTAATAATGTATGTAAAAAATCCTTATTTCAGATAGTCTTGCTAATTTCAAGTTTTGTACACAAACTATCTTGTCTAATTAGATCTTTTTTTAACCTCCTGCTCTGGATGATGGACTGTACTAAGAGTAAAGGAGTCAGTGCTGTGATAGTTGTTTGCTTGTGCTTGTATTCATAGTCTTATCTTTTTAAGACTTTAATCTGTGGTTTCTCTGCAGGAATCTTCTCTAACCACTTGCTATTTTGTGAGGATTTAGTTTATTTAAACCACATAGTAAAATCTGTAAATCCATTTAACTATATTTATATGAAGCAAAGTACTTTACAATACAAAGAGTAGTGAAAGGTGGCACTACTGTGTTCTATCATGTGTCACTGTTTCATTCAAGGAAGAATGTGCTGTTTCCATTTTCCTTAGGAGTATCTTACTGTAGGTTTTAGAGTGACTAGTGAGGGTTCACACCTCAGTACCTCAAATAAAAGAAAAAGAGATTTCATATATTGTCTGTATTTATACAATTATGTATACATTTTTTGGGGGTTTACATAATCCACACATTTTGTGGACTCTGCCCCCTCCTCCTTTAAAAATTGAAACATTTATTTATTTATTTGCAGTGCTGGGGAATTGAACTCAGGGCTTTACACATGCTAGGCAAGTAAGTGCTCTACCATTGAACTACATCCCCAGCCCACTTGAATGCTTTGTTTTATTTATTTATTTACTTATTTGGTATTGGGAATTGAACCCAAGGATGCTTAATCACATCCCCAGCCCTTTTCATTTTTTATTTTGAGATAGATTCTCATTAAATAGCTTAGGACCTCATTAGATTGCTGAGGCTTCTCTTGAACTTGTGATCCTCCTGCCTCACTCTCCTAAGCCTCTGGAATTACAGGTGCACTCCACCATGCCTGGCTGAATGCTTTCCTTTAAAGATTGCTTTACCTATAGCAGCATGTATAGATTCTTCTTCTTCTTCTTCTTCTTCTTCCTTCT